AGAAATGTTTTTAAGAGTTTTTTTTTAAAGTGATCAAAATTAGTACATTTTAATTTCTCTTGGTAAAGTGTAAGTTCCATAGACTGGCTGAAAGTATATGAAATATTCGCAGGGTATTGATAATACGATACTAAAAATTCACTACAAAGGTAGTAGCCCAAGTAAAGTATTTACGGTTTTGACGATTTGAAAAGAAAAAGAAAAAAATGAATGAAAATGAGATGAAATGAAAAACAGTTTCCAGAACGCATATCTGTAAACGTTATTCAGGTATTGACATATTTTTTTCTTTTTTCTACTTCTTTTCCCCCAATATTTCTTTAATAGTCGCAGCCAAGAGAAAATTCAGTTAGTTCATATTCTCTTGTCGCAGTGTATTGATAATACAATACTAATATTTCTGAAATGATGCCGAACCTAAAGTCTAGTATAAACTGAGAGTGTACATTTTCTTTCTTTATTTATTGATTTTTTTTTTTTTTAATAAATTTTCAGTTATAATAGGATAACGATTTGACTTTGACTGTACTTTACAGTGGGCGTTTTAATTTGTTCCGTGTTAGGTTCTATAATTTGTTGGTAAAGTTTTAATTATATAACGTTCGCGATAATAGATCAAAGCATCTGTCCGATGACTTAAAATTCAGAATATATTTCGAGGCTTTTATAGCCGTATGGTAACGAAGGTGTGGTTAAAACAAGTGGAACGTGTGGCTCACAAAATATATAGTTTCAGTTTTAAAACATTTTAGCTAGAGAACTATTTAAGAGCCACTATTTTGCACCGATTTGTCGAGCATCAGGGCCGTAACTAAGGGGGAGCACAGGGTGCACGTGCACCCCCCCCCCCCCACACACACACAAAAGCTTAAGGTCCGCTCAACCATCTCCTTTTTTTTTTTTTTTTCGTATACATCCAAGACATCTTCAGTTTTAGTCTTAATTTTGTATAGATTTACTAGCTAGTTAAGTATACGTTTGATTGATGAACGCAACTACAAAAGACGGAATCCTTCGATTCATTACACTCAGTCGTACTTTTCGCTTGATTTTAACCTTTTAAGATATTTAAAATGAACCTCTGTCTTGAGAAAAAAACACACACACACACATAAAGATCTTTGAATTCTGATTCTCCGCGTTTACAACATATTTTGGTAGATATTGTTCTTCTTCGAGTACTAATGCATCAATGAAGAGGGTTTTTTCCCCCGAGAATTTTCTCAGCTTTTGTTACTATAATGGCTCGTTTTTAACTCCTTATTGCTCATTGTAGTTTCACCTCCGGCTTCCAATGATATGATTTCAATAATGTTTTCTTTTTTTCTTTTCTTTTTTTTTTTTTTTTTTTCGAGTGGTTTTGTTCCTCCACGTAGTTGATGAAGTGAATTTCATTGGCAGTAATGGAAGAATACTTTTAATTTTTCTGAACGCTGCACGTATTTTGCCGACACCGTAATTTTTTCACTCTATTTTTCTGCGTTTTTCTGCCCGAGTCACGAAGCAAAATTAAATTCGATTTTAATTAACTTGACAAAGAACAACTGAATAGATCTTTTCTAATGTCACTGCATATCTTATATGAGAAATTTCATTTCACTTAACATCATCAATATTTATTTTCGTTATATGAGAATTCGAGCACAAATAATCGTGACGTAAATATATACATAGTAAGTTGACCATCTGGTTGCCTATGCTGTAGTTTCAGGATCGACTCCGTTAAGCTGATGCTTCTGATCTCCTCTGCTTCAAGCACAAGAGCTTTATAAAAACAAAACTACGTTTTCATGGAAAATTTAACTGAAAATGGAAGTCTATGGAATTCAAACCTGCAAGATCAGTGCTTTCTTTTTGAGATGGTCGAAAGTCCCCAAGGCTTTATGTATCCGATTCACATTGTCACCGCTTTACTCAATGGCATATTTGCTGTTGTAACTACTATGGGAAATTCCCTTGTAATCTACGTTATATGGAAGAACATATCTCTTCATACGCCTTCGAATGTTCTCCTTTGTTGCCTCGCATTTTCTGACTTAGCCGTTGGCCTTCTTGCTCAACCTGCATTTGTTGCTCATAAAATTGGCAAACTTATACACAACTTTCGCCTATATTGTCTCACACGAGTCACTCTGGAAACTGTCGGGCAAATATGTGCTGGCGTATCGACTCTGACTTTGGCAGCGATAAGCGTTGAACGATATCTTGCTCTCCGGTTTAGCTTACGGTACAACGTCATTGTTACTAACATGCGTGTCTTTATGGTCGTCGGCTTGTTTTGGGTTGTCTTCACAGTCTCAACAATTTCAAAACTGTTTGTTGAAAAAATAAACAGTTTACATTCTTTCTTTCTGTTTAGTGTTACTCTATCTAGTTTTGGTGTTATTTCTGTGTCCTGTGTCTTCGTTTTTCGCTGTGTTGTGAGACACCAAAAGAGAATCAATTCTGAACAAATTCCTGGGTCAATAGAACAACAAGATTTCACTTCTAAGCGATCTTCATTCAGCTTGTTACGATATAAGAAGGCAACTTTAACTATGGCCTATGTTTTAGGCATTTATTTGCTTTTCTATCTTCCGTTCATCGGGGTAATGATAGCTCGCAAATTTTATGGCTACACACAGATTACCAAAGCTGCTTATGTTTGTACTTCGACTTTGATATTTTTAAACTCCTCAGCTAATCCACTAATTTATTGTTGGCGAATCAAAGAAATACGAATACCTGTAAAGATAATTTTAAAGAAATTGTTTTCTTCTCATACTCCAGTGACGAACTTTGAACCAACAAGCAATGGAGTGGGAGCTATTAATTTAAGTAGAAACTACGTATACTATGTCCAAGATCAGTCAGAAACAAGGAACTAAAAAAAAAACTAAATAAGTTTCTGAGTGCATTTGACTGCATATATGAAAATATTGCTATATAGAACTAATTAATGGTAAACCGGAATATGTATGTGTTTCTGTTAACAATTCATGTAAATGAACCGTTATTTAAGAGTAACATGAACGTGCAAGAAATTCAGTTAGAATTATATAGAAACTTTTTTTAATAACTGAATATAATCATAAGTTTATCTGTCCATATTCATTGTCCTTTATGTCTGTGTGTCACGTAGGGCTGGAGTATACTCCTTAATTATTAACCAAATATTACTCAAAATTGTAAATATGAAATATGATAATAAAAAGCTCAAATTATTGAAGCAGGTGGGGTTTTTCCAACTGTTCTGTTATATCAATGACGTTGTTCTTTTGTTTTGTTTTGTTTTGTTTGTTTGTTTTTTTTGTTTTGTTTTTTTTCCGTTTTTTCGTTGCTTTTTTTTTGTTTTTTGTTGTTTTTTTTTTGTTTTTTTGTTTTTTTGTTTGTTTATAAACTAGTTCTTCTTTTCATTGGAGCATAACAAATTGTTTTTTCGTTAATTGTTTTTCCTAGCTCCTTATTTCATTCATGATTGCTTTTAACGTGCAATTTCTGGTATTCTGAGACTTTCAAGTCCCAGCTGAGCTAATAAAAAATGGAGGTAGAGAGTCAAGAAGAAGACAAACGGGTGATGTTGTGTCAAAAATTAGAGTTCTATTCAATGAATAATATGAATAAAAGTTGCCCTACGCAAACACATTATCCTTGCTTACCAAAACTGAACTATATCTCATTTCAATCTAAAAACCTAACAATATGGCAGATCTCAAGGTTAATTTGAGACCTCGATTTTATAGACAGACTCTCAACGTAAACAATGTTGATGCTTCTAGAGTTTTTCCACTGAAAAAGTTAGCTCTACTAAGTACACTGCTATTTTTAAAAACCTCTTAAACTTGTCGGATTTTCGGCTTCAAATTAGAGAAAAAAGTTATTGTATTTAAAAGTAGCATAATTTGCATCAGTTTTCGTGATTAATAAGCCATTTAATCTGATTGAGGCGATAAGATTCAAGGTAAAGAAAGCTCTTCATTCAAACGGTCATTTTCGATTATCTCGCTACTGGCAATATTTACAAAAAATAAGATGCATGACAGCTTGCAGACAAAGAAATTAATATTTCACCTTCGTTAAACAAATAGTCTAAGATCGTCTAGTATGTAAATATATATTGAAAAGGGTCCTAAAGTTTGAAGTACTTAGCGCTGACGATGAGAATGAGGGTCAGATATTAATCAAAATAGGCAGATTAAGATTTCCTTTTTTTTCTTTCCCGCAAACGGCAAATGTGACCACGTTTTCCTCGTTTCCCTGCATTTCACTTTACCTTTTGCACACCTTCTCACCAAAGACAAGTATTCTTTTGTTTATCTAGTACTTGGAGATTTTTGCGATTCCTTTTCACTGTTTTTAAAGAAATTTTTAATGCTTTATTTTATCACTTAGAGTTTATCATTATTCTTATTTTGTTGTTGTTATAATGATTTAAATTTTTGTTAGGGTGCACTTAATTTGGAGCCAAACTCTGTTGTGCTTACCCCTTCCATGATAGCTTAGTAACTTATAATTATAATTGTCTTGGATAAAGCTATGTAAATAAATAAACTGACTTTTCACATTTCCCGTAAACGAGAATCTTAAACTCTCTGATATAGTTACTACACTCTATAGGTTTTAACCTTGGAAACGATCGGAAAGCTGAAACAAAATACTAATTTACATACACATATTTCAAAAAACGTTGTTGACACCAACGACGATAGGCAACAGGCGATAGGCAACAGGCGATAGGCAACAGGCGATAGGCAACAGGCGATAGGCAACAGGCGATAGGCAACAGGCGATAGGCAACAGGCGATAGG